AGGGTGGAAGCTTGTGGCAGAACAAAATAAACCTCACCCCGCCATCCTTGCAACTCCCGGGTAGCAGGCTGAAGGCGGCCTTAAGTGCTAGGGATCTTGATTTGGAGATGGAACTGCTCGGGCTAGAAAGTCCGGCTAAACACCAGCAGCAGCAGCAGTTGATAGAAGAGATAGCTCGAATCTCTTCCCCATCATTCCGGAACACAGATTATAGTAGGATGGGTGATTTGAAGCCAACTAACCTCGATGACCTTTTGGGATCTGTTGATCCTTCTGTTCTTTCTCAACTTCATGGAATGCCTACTCAGCTGCAATCTCCAAATGGGCTTCAGATGCAGCAAAACATGAACCACCTTCGGGCAAGCTATCCCACCAACCTTCCTTCCTCACCGGCAAGAAATTCCTTGGGTTTAGGGTTTGATTCATCATCTGCTGTGGCAGCAGCAGTGATGAACTCCAGATCTGCAGCCTTCGCAAAGCGAAGTCAAAGTTTTATTGATCGTGGGGCAGTATCACCCCGCCATTTTGGGCAATCTACGGCCTCCAACACCGCCTGTAGGGTATCTTCTGCACTTTCAGATTGGAGATCCCCTGATGGGAAATTGGATTGGGGCATGAATGGAGATGAGCTGCACAAACTGAAGAAATCTGCTTCTTTTGGGATCAGAAACAATGGAAACACTAACGCTACTATGGCACGGTCTGAAAATTTTGAGCCAGATGTGTCGTGGGTTAATTCTTTGGTTAAAGATGCCCCCTCTGAGAAGCAGCAGCAACAATTTGATCCCAGTAGAGAGATGCTCCCACCATGGGTGGAGCAGCTATATAGGGAACACGAGCAGATAGTTGCATAAGCAATGGCTGCCATGGCAACGCTCCTTGATTATTCTGACAAAGTTTATTTATTTATTTATTATTATTATTTTGAATTTTTATAACTATTCCACATTACATAGAGTATAGTCAGAGATAGGACAAGGAGTGCTGCAAAGAATAAAATCCTGGATATTCACAGAGATTCGAGAGGGTAGCAACTTTTCTTCTAGTTCAATGATGAGGAGAAAAATGAAGCAGCGATGCCTTTTTACCCCCTGTAATTGTATTATCTGATTATTTCTCCTTTCTGGAAGTTTGGGTGTATTATCTTTAGCATGGAAAATTTTATCATTGCTGAAGGAGCTTGTCTGTTTTAGTCTTTACACACATCTGTACAAGTACAACTTCCGAAATCTGTGCCCTTTTCAGTGAAGTATGAAGTGTCATTTATTTCCAAGAGGATGAGCACTTTTTTTTTTCCTGATTGCATTCTCCTATTGCTTCTGAATCTAATGGTTGAACCAAAAACTCGGCTGCTCGTAGCTATGCTTGAGGGTTACCTATGATTCCGTCAGAAGATGAATATGAACGCCAAATCATATCGATAGAGGATAAGAGGCAATGACAATGCGCGTTGATATGATGGTAGTGACTATTACGAATCATTAGCGTGCAAATTTATGCCTTAAGAAAGATGCGGCACGTTTAATTTAAAATGAAGCAAATGGTCCAAGAACGTTTTATTTGAGACAGCCGGAAGCAGATATATTGATTTAAAATTGATTAGATTCTAACAGTTTAAATTTATTTATCTATTTTTTATCATAATATTTATTTTTATAAAATGTTATAAAATATTAAATCTGAACTATTGGAGTTTTGATCCAATAATTGTGAAAAGAAAAAGAGAGTGGTGGAGGGGAAGAGGATGGAAAGGTAGTGGAGAGAATCCAAGTCTAAGTTTTCAACCAGATCAAGTTGTGCTCGTAAGAAACGCCATTTGTATCAGAAATTTTGTTGAATCAGCTATTTATGGATGGTTAGAACTCATAGAAGGGTGTGGGTGCGCGCGAATACCAGGATAGGTGTTTGGAGAAGAACTGATGAAGCAAGTGGGACAGATGTCATAAGATAAGGAAGATGAGGAAATTGCATGGGATAGGTAACAGCATTATTTAAAACAATTGAACCCCACCTGACCATTAAATGCATATGTCCTTTATAAATAATCCATTTGAAATTCTTGTGGACTTACTTGCTCACAATTCTCACACGCGCGCGCACCTACAAGCTGATTCAAAGGGATATAAAATCGTACCACTACAGTGGACAAAGGAAGAAAAAATAGGTGATGGGCAGAAGTTGAGGTGAAGCAAGAGGCTTCGTGGAGAGTGCGCTGGGATGGGGCAAAAAGACAGGGGATGATAAGAAGCAAAAGGAAGAGTACAAGTTTGAAACGGAGGCTCGTGTTTGTGTTGGAAAAGGTTGTCATCCAGATGAGAGGAACACGTGGGACCCACCATTTGGACGTTTGTGTAAGTTCGTCCAATCAGGAAATGAGTTGGTTTTGTTGAGTCCAGCAACCCCCACTGGCCAATGCATTAGCCCCCCCCCTTTTGAAAAGCAGAGACCGCTTTTTTGGTTTCTTCTCTCAAGCCAGCCAGCTTCCTTCCTTCCTTCCTTCCTTCATGCCTTCTTCCATTTGGTTTCCCTCCACCTTCATCGACTCACTATCCCGCACTCTGATGCTGGGAGCCACTATGTAACTATAATACTACTTACATAATTTCTTAAGATTCTATATATAAGCTTCAAATTATTGGCCAAAAAATATATATATATATAAGCTTCAAATTTAGAGATATGTATTTTATTTTACAACTTTCAATTTAGATTTGTTTTAATATTTAATGTATTTTTTCAATATTGTCCATAATTATTTCTTTCTTGTTACATTTCTCCACATACTTTCTTTCATTCTTTTTTTTTGTTTATTATAAAGGCACATTTGGAAACAAAAATATATTTTTAAATATTTATTATTTTTAACTACTTATTTATTATTCATAAATCAGTTATTTAAAACTTATAATAAAGCAGATGGAGCATATTGAAGGATGTCACGGTATAATATATCTTAAAAAGCACGAATTGCTTCACTATTCTCCTTCACTACCCTGGTTTGACTATACTACTTGTTTGGTTGTGCTAAAAATGATGTGACTCTAATATTTCATAAACATTTAAAAAGAATTTTTCTCTAGATGTCAGTTCACATGTTGAACAGTGTTTTTTTCAAAAGTAAACTTAATTAGTTGTCGAACTAAAATTAGAATCACAAGCATACGTAGTATTCTTTCGATTTTTAATATAAGACTTATTTAACTTATTTGATTAGATTAAGAAAGTTAGGTAAATTAGTTAATTATAAGAAATGTGACATATTTTTCTTAAAATACCATACTCATCTTTCTTAATATCTCCTATCTCTCTTTTACTTGATTATAGTTGAAGGAGTATCTATAGGGATAATTTAAAAAAATTAATAAATATGAAAAATAGATTTTATATTTAAGATCAAAACCAACTTAATAATTAAGTCCTATATTAAGGACTGGAGGAGTATATCATAATATAATGAATGTCAGAGAATTAGTTCAGCTGTATCACTTTGACTTAAGTACATAAACTCAATATTGTTGGAATTGCAGGTTACTAACTGGTGTTAACGCAACCCAGCTGGTGGAAGAATTTCTTAGATGAGACAAATGTGACATCCCGTGCAAGTAAAGTGGATGAAGCTTCACAGCTTTCTTTTTACTGCCAACATTTTGCTTCTACAGTTGATTAGTGGCCTTTCCCATCCAGATTGATAGTTACAAAAAGCGGTCCGCACTCAGTGCTCATCAAGCGATGAGCAATCTGGGCCATTCAGATCCAATCTAAACGGTCCAGACTTAATATTTTTAAATAATTATTTAAAATAAAAAGATTATATTTTAAAGAATGATAATTAAGATATTATCTTTATTTTTTATCCTATATCTATTAATTAATTATTTTAAAAAAATAAAAATAAAAATAAAATTAAAATTAAATCTGGACCGTCCAGATCTAATGAGCATTGGGTACTCATCAAAACTGATGAGCACCCAATGCAAATCCACAAAAAGATTATATTCTCAATACTTCATTATATTGAGTCTTATGTATTAAATAAACTTCCTTTTTATTCTGAAATGATGAATCTTCAGTTGGGCATAATTCTCTTGGAATAATCTTGAAGCATGCCATTATCATCCATTGGAAGGATTATTTTGTACATTTGTTCTCCCATGATGTAACCAGCATCCGAGTCTACTGTGGCTAATATATTGGCCAAGTGACACCTGATACTCATTCTTAACATAAGCTGTGTATTCTTTTCCAACAATCACAAACTGGAATTCGTTTAAGGTTTAAGACCTTGTCCTTCACCCTTTTTTTTTTTTTTGAAACTGGCAAACGTTAAAACATTTGCAGATGTAGCTTAAACACATAATGTGAGCATCACAATGATGCCTGGGGTCATTTGAGCCAAGGTTTTCAAATAAAATCCTGCCCTTATGACAAGTTCCAGGGAATTTAGACCAAACTATTTCTAATTATTATCTTTTTTTAGCATATGCATGCATTTAGCTAGCAATTTTCAATACCTTGTACATTCTGCAGACCAATTTTCTTTTGACAATGCAGCAATGCAGCATGTGCTGTTCTTTTCAACCAATACAATGACATCAAATACCCCTATGCTTTTTAATGTAAAACATAATTAGCTAATTTGAGTATACTAAGGATGTTAATTAAATTAGTTAATATGATATTTTTTTTAAAACACTTTAAACATCTCCCTTAGTTCCTTCGTTCTCTCTTCTACTTGATTATTGTTAGAAAATATTAATAGTATTAATTTGAAAAAAATTGGTAAATATATAAAATAGGTCTTATATATATAACCAATATCAACTATCTAATTAGGTCATATATTAATAACCGTATGGTACTATACAATGATAAAGATTCATAACCCGCCACCCTTTTCAATACATAGTCACCTATTTGGTACATACATGAAAGAATAGGGGGGGGGGAGAAGGAGGCCAAACACTTCTCCCTTCCTTGACGGTCAAATTATATGCTAGCCCGCATGTCAAATTATACGGATCAAGTCACGGCCACCGCACGTCTGTACATGGGATGGACACAAAAATTTCTCCTTTGTAACATAAACAGGTGAAAGCTGACTCACATAGGGTTGACTTCTTTGCATGATGAGAGATCTATGCCCTAAAATTTAGGTTTTAGTAACCTTATTTAAAATAGCTACCTGCGAAGAACCCCAGTGAGTCCAGTTCAACTTTTATGAGAGTCTAGATATCCTGATTTAGATGAAGGACGGTGCATTTTGTCATATCTGCCACCATTTACGGTTTTCCATTCTCTTGGCAAGTTCTTTTGCCATTGATGCGAAGTCTTCCGCCCCACTTTGCAGTTCTTCAGTATGTTGGCTGAGCATCTAGGATGGTTTAAAATGGTGAGTAGAGATAGTCAGAAAATAGGAAGACTGCATTCAGTGGGCAAAATTTCAGAAAACTGTCTGCATAAAATTTTCCAAATTTAAGTGCACCGAACTGTTTAGGGAGAATTTCATGGAGGTTTCTTCTATGGGGGAAAAGCAGCTTCTCTATAACCTAACCTGAAGTTTTTCTTGGCGTTCAAGAAGCTTATCCTTCGCAAGTGCAGCAGCTGCAGAGGCATCCTGAAAGAACTCAAGATGTCAAATATGCAATCTATAATAAATAGGACTTTCAAATTGTTCACATCTCAGATTTACCCCGGCGTTTCTGTATTTGGCCTTGATTTCCTCCGCTGTTCTCTGTCTCGGTTTTGTATCAGTGCTTGCACCCTCAAATAATTTCTGTTTGTCTGCCCCTTTTCCTTTGTTGTCAGTTCTTTTTCCTCTATCTGCAAAGCACACGTTCGTCATTCAAATGATAAAATACTTGAAGGGGAAAATGATGATAGATATACCTGTCTTGTCAATATCACTTTTCTGAGGATAGTTGACAACTAAAGGTTCGTCAATGTGAATTTGATCTGCACCAAAACAACGTGGACATTCAGACGTTTTGGTATTTGTGGCAGCGGATGATGCTTTTAGAACAAACCTATGTCAAGCTCAAATGGATCTTGCTTATCAGCTGTGGCAGAGGAAGCCTTTAAGAAGGGGGGACAGGAGAAAAGTTTCTCTAAATTTGCAGAACTATAATGATGAATTGCTTGATTTTCCTCCTCCACTTTACCCGCTTTTAGGTTCTTGACAACATTAACCAAGATACCTGGATACTGTCGCCCCTACAGCAAAAGAGATTACAAATGCTTAAAAATATATGGAAAACAACAGAAGTAAAGAAAGCTAGAACAAACTGGACCTGTTCTTCATTCTGGTTTGTAGGTAGGCTTGCTGTAGCATCCACGGCCGCTGCAAGGACCCTATCATGTAGACAAGGCAATGACTCAGGAATCCTACAGAAATTCAAAAGTTTACATTAGGCGCCATTGTTTTGAATACGAATGCTAATTCACATTCCCCAATCATTTCTGGATTCGATGGGCAGATGATTTGGCAGAGAACAGCAACCAAAGATCAAATCAACAAAATCTCAGAATTGCTTGTTGTCAATGATCACGCAAAAAGGTCAAAAAGTGGTGACCGGAGGGGTAGTAATAGATCGCGCAAAACATAAGCCCTAAGAAAACAAGAAATTTACAAGACCATAAAATAAACTAAAACAATATATTTTCGTTAAACAAAATAGAATCCAAAATTAGGTCAGAAAAAATTTCTCAAGTTTCGTCAAACAAAATAGAACTTCAAAAACTAATAGAACACAAAAGTGGAACGAAAGAACCATTTCCGAAGACAAAATTCTTCCTACTTAAATTCAATAGTAAAGCTAGAATCTTTATGACAGATAATATGCTCAAAATTTTGATATCATTCAATTTATCAAAAACTGCCATTTAATGTTGCGAGAAATTAATCAAAAAATCTGCATGTACATACCAAGAATCGGGTTAAAAAAAAAAAGGGCCTAGAAAAAGGGAGGAGAGAGAAAATTACCAGAGTTCATATTCACATTTCAACAGTGATACAAAAGCAGTTTCATTCCCGTTGACCTATAAAACAAGAGCCATGAGCCCAATAATAAACCAGAACGAACCTGACTATCTACCAACGCATACTGTCCAGAGGATCAAAAATTATTTCAGAGGTCCACAACACATCAAATATTATTTCATTCTTTATGGTCATTCTTTTTCCCTTCACCTCTCAAGGCATCAATATCAACGCCAAGTTTAAGACTCTACAGCACAAGTTGGATAGAAATAATAGACCAATCAGATAAGTTATGGCAGTAAATACTATCAACATATCTTCATTCAAGAACAGAATTTTCAGACCAGAATAAGTTGTCCATTAGAGGAAGAACATATTGTCTTCTCCATGTTGGTCTTCAAGCTCCATCGTAGAATTGCTATTAAAGAACATTCCCCCACCACTTCCAGAGTTGGTATGGACCTGCTCAAAGTGACTTAACATCCATCAAATGCTTGTCGCCAGAAAAAAAGCTTATTAATGTACACATTGGCGTCCCAACAAAAGCAAGGATGATTCAAAAAGCAATATGATGGGAGTATGCAAGGAAATGGTATATGGAATAGGACTATCAGGGCAGAGGAAATATATCATATTTGTACAGATGGAAATTCATCATAATAAGGATATTCTCTGTTAGGCCAGTATTTGGCTTTTTTTTAAAAAAAAAAATTTAATATAAAATATCTACTAAATGAGTTTTACTTAAAAAAATAGGGATTTCTGATTATCAAATTGTAATATATATTTGGATTAATGGAATTTTGCTAATTATGGAACCCTATGTACTTTGGATCCTCACCTTACGATTTGAAATTTATATTACAGTTGAGGTGTTTCTGATGCCCATCCTTTCTAAACTCCCTGCCTCCACCCTATCCCGTTCTTTCTATCTTTCCTTCACATCTATTCTCCCTCCCCCCAGTGATGAATAAGAAAATTAAAGAACTAATTATTGCACTTCCACTCAATTTTCATATATAGGAAATCAAGAGTATTAATATAATGCTAATGAGGCCCCCACGTAGAACATTGTTTGTGTGAAAAAGTTTTCAAAGTTTTATAGGAAGATAAAGATTTTGAATATAATCAGTGTCTTTATCTTCTCACCCTGCACCAACTGTCTTTTTTTCGGGGCAAGAGGTGGTTTGCCACTTTCGTGAACTTAAGCATCTGCTAATGACTTGAAGTGGGTAAGCACAACATAACAAAGTAAGAAATAAGGAAGTTTAATAAGCAGTTCACCTCAATTCAATGTCTCCAGTTTGATACAGCACAACCAACCCACACTCTTTCCCACCTTTCATTAATGTAGTTGTCCAACAACATCGGTTTACGAGGTTCACCCTCCGAATGTACTTACTGCTACCCTGTAATATGGCAGTTCCATTAAATGGTATAGAAGGAGACGATAAATTCAGAATAACAATGGACATGGAAAGACCTCAATCACAGATTTCATAGAGTGTATGCTCAATTGACTCTCACAGCAAAGCAAAATGAGTGAGTTAGATAACATCTGAGCAAAATATGAACTTTCTACAGTTGTGACAGCTTCAGCTTCAACAGGTGCACTTTCGGACTGAACATTAGCTTGTCCAAATTCAGATCCAGAATCAGCATTCAGAGGTGAGTTGGATAAATCTTTTCCACTTGATGGTTCACAAGTACCATCTGAAAAAATATGGCACGATATGGGGTACAAGTCATGGGCACGCTATAATATCTACTTTTCATCAATAAAATACTTGCCTATAATATGCATGGAGATTAAATTTGATTCTTTCTTTGGGGTTATTGACACATTGCAAACCATATCCCCTGATGCAGTATCTGTGGCAATAACATTTGCGTCTCTTGTTGCAGAAACTAACAGCCCTTTTCCACGACCGTCAGAAATATTGGTTGCAGATTTCTGCGGACTGTTTGGTAAGCAACAACCATCTGAAAATTTGACATTCAGAGAAATTATTGGTGAAGATACACTAGATTCCTCACTGGTGAGAAAGAGAACTGATGGTTCTATGATATCAAACATAGCAACCTGCAAAGTGGATTTAAAAATAAAAAGTTTGAGACTTGAGAATAGTTTAACTCAAATTGTATATAAGTCAACACATTAACCAACAGTAAACGAACTATATCATTTAGAAACATAAAATTGTCGAAGATCTCACTGTTCCACATTCATATCCGACGGCAAGCTTTGCCCCCAGGTTTGCAAACTTTAGGCTGCATACAGGAGAACTTTGAAGGGAAAATACTCCAGTACAATGAGGTCCATTCCCTTTAGGGGTCTTTTGAACTGTTACATTTCATATGTATTGATTAAAATCAGTGATTAGAGGAAGAAAATTCTATGTTCAGCTCACACACCAGAATATAACTAAGATTATTGTGGAACTGACATGAAATACTCCCTTCAGTGAGTAGAAGACCAAATATTGAAACATTTTTACAACCTAGTTATCTTGCCCTTACCCAGAAGAACGATTTTCAGCTTAAGAGTTCACCATAACCATGTGGTTAAGAGTTCAATCCTCACCATCTTATTTGTATCATCAAATCAAATTTTAACACAAGATAATGGTGGGCTTGTGTGAAGTCCCAGGGGGATTTTCCATGATGCGGCAAATACGGTAAAACTATTTTGAGTCTCCAACTTATGCTCACAGATAGAATGACAAAAATAAATCAAATCACATATGTGACATTGATAGGTTTAGAAGGTTACATCTTTGCTTAATGTAGATAAAAGTCTCTAGATATGAAACTCCCTCAACCATATAAATTCTAAAATGGGTCTCTTACAGCAATTCTTGTCCTTGTGACGGGGTTCCCTGAATGATAACTATAATACCTTCCTAACACTAAAAACAAGTAAACAGAATTATGCTTGCAAATTAATGAGAAAACCAACCTTTGTTTTCATTTTCTGTCACAAAGTAGACGTTCATTTCATCTGAACTCCCAACTAGCCCATATAGACGAACCTATATGCTTTCATTGGATAAAATTACAAAGGATTCATAAGTTTATTGTATAAAAAAGGGAGGAAAATAATACATAAAATTTTTACCAGGCCACATTTATTGCCAACTGCCAACCGTAAAGTATCCGGGCAAAAGTCCAATGCTGATACTGCTGCACTTGCACTATCAATTTTAATACCATTCACCTGCCAATTGCAGAATTCATTTCCAAATGAAGGGCAAGATCAAGTCACTAACGTAGGAGCTTTCTTCCGTAACAATGAAAGTTCAATAGGACTTTTCCTATTTACTTTAAACAAAATCACCAGTTACAAAATAGTATAATATGCTAACCTCAGATGTCATATTGTACACTAATGTCAAAGAAGGATGGGTCACATCCCATATCCGAATAGATCCATCTTGATAACCTGCTATGTACATTTGAAGGGCGTGAAGGTCTTCTTTCAAAAGCTGACCTGGAACTCCACCAGTCAAAGGCCACTTCATGCCACTACTTGTCTGATCTTGCGCTGCGCTCTGCTTGGCAGCTAATAGGATCTGGATAATCATCCTATGCAATTAGTAGCGCCAACAATTTTTTTTTTTTAAAATAAACGGAAAACTTATATCAGTGCAAATAATGTATCTATTTAAATTACCATAAGCATAGCAACTGAAAAAAAGAAGAATATTTAGACCTAGTGAGCATCCACTACCTCAGACAAGGCCCGATAACACTTCCCATCTCCATGTACCACACAAAGCTTTGCTGTTGTCATATATGGTTCAAGAGTGGGTATGACCATGGGATATTCCATTGAAGGAACGGATAAATTTTTTTCTTGTTGAGACATTAAGGAACACAAGCAAGCTTTGTCATAAAGATGCAGCTGTCCAGGATTTGTCAATACATATAACATATTACAAGCTCTGTCTGAACAATAATCAGTTGATAATAAAACCATATCAGCAAAAGAACCATTAAGCGTAACATCAATACGGCCACTGCACTTGAGACTTTCAATCCCAGAAGACCAATCAACACTCAAAACCTGTATATAAGAAAACACCACATTATTGTGACATGTTAATTATCTAAATAATTTGAATATATTGAAATATTAAGAGACTGCTAATGTTCAATGCAAAACAGGTAAGAAAGAAACTAGTCCTATCCCTGAGAAGTGTTAATGTAAAATATCCAACATCATGAGCCACATTCACCCGTGTTAATGAGAACAACAGAACGCAAATAAATCATTTATAATAAAGCATGACACCATGAGACCTAAAGTCCCAACCCCCAAAAACACATTTAAAAAAAAATCAAAAGAAAAGAAAAAGGTTTCAAAGCCACATTCACCCACTGGTTTGTTTGGATGCCGCTCAACCCACCTTGCGGCATCTTTGTTCCTAGTTTTGACCAAAATAATTCAAGTGATTAAAATCTCATTAATGAAAGTATGGTTTGTGTATATCATTAACAACTAGCAGTACGCTGTGCAACTGCCCACGTACTTCAACTTTTTTTTTTTCCCCTTTTCCTTTTCTTTTTATTGGAAAACAAGGTGCTCCGATTGAAAAAGAATCATTTATAACAACATATATATTAATTTTATTTATATATAAAACAATACTATATTATCTGTAGGATGCATGAGAATTAATTTTGAATGTGCAATATTTTTGGTAAACAAAAAAATAAAAGAGGCTTATGAGGTCCATATGGCAGATGAACAATGATTCTACAGTAATATCAGATTTTGTTTTATATAATATATTGATGATTGATGGTCTCCTAGCCTTTTAAGGCTATTGCTAGGATGAAGCCAACGTTTGCAATTACAAGTGTCCACTAAATCTAAGAAATAATATTGGAACATTGTTAAATTATTCAAAATGTATATGAAACTGTTGAAGGTGCCGACTAGAGAAGAAAAGAAATATTTAATGTATTCATGTATTATTATTTCATTAATAATAAAAATAGTAGTAGTAGTAATATCCTCCTAGGTTAGGTTTAGATATTTTTTTTGGCCAACAGGTTAGTTTTAGATATTATATCTTCTGTTAATTTTTTATATCTTTGAAGATAAATCCAAGATATTAAGAACTAGTAAAGGATATGATATCTAGGATCCTATGTTTAGGGTTTTTGCTTCACCCTATATTAATACCTAATGTATGCAGCAGTTAAATCGTTGAATAAACAAAACAGAGGCGCATCACACCTCTATATTCTTCCAAAACAAAATTCAACAACGAAATTGTTCCTAGTTTTAACATTCACATGATTATTTTTGTTACAATCGTGGTAAAATTACATAGGATTAACAAACATCAATAGTGGAGGATGACATACTTCAAACTATGAAGGGCCAAACTAACTTTGGGCCAAACCACAAGATGGTAAACTATAAATTACCCCTTTTTCCTTTTTGTATTCCACTACAATGATCATGATAGAAACTAAGGGAGCCCTTTTCCTCATTATGCATTATCTGTTACATATATCACATTTTTGTAATTATTATAATTGCTAATATTAATTAAGCATCAAATAGTCACTGTGAGTATGGAACTTACAGTCAGAACTTCTTGAGACCCAATTTCATCGCCACCATAAACAAATAGAAGGCCCCCAGTATCACTGTTTGATTTATTTGCACACCAATGTAGAACAATGACAGGTAGTCTTCTATCTGCTGATGATAATTGAAGCTTGACAACATGATTTGACATCTTTTTAGCTTGATGACCAGTGGAAGAGTCAGCAGTTGACAAGTCCCAGAACATTATATCACCATCTATGTAACCAACAGCAATAACCGATCCATTATTAGATGCCCAACAGACAGAGCTTATCTCCTTATCTTCTTTATGATCTGATTTATTATCTGACAGCGTATCCTCAGAATTATTTGGATGAGTAATCATTTGTTTATCCTTTAACTCAAGGTCCCTATGTCCTCTGATGACAACAACTTTATCTCCAGAAGCATCCCATAGCACAAGCACTCCATTCTCATATGCAATCAGCAGTCTGCAAAAGGATCCCATAATAATAATAATAATAAGTTGAACATAGCTATAACAAATCGTACCAGTTCTAGTTTATGTGCAACTCAAAACTAAGCTGTAGACTGAATTTGTAATGCTTCATGGCACATAACAGCTGATTCAATGTTCCGAGAAATGACATTTCCATGTTGCTTGCAATCAATTACCATAATCAAATAGCGATATGAATAATATGATGAAAATTGATAGCACGGTTGAAAGTGATATAGAAACCACCTTAATGGTAATTTAGAATAAGAGTTCGATTGTTTGAAATTTCCTCATGATTGTCATCGCAGAATCTTATTTGATAATGAGTTTAATACATTGTCATACAACAAAAGGCAGATAACGGTGACTACAAACGAAAATATAGACAAAAGATTTCATCTTCTTTTAGACGTCATTTCAAAGGAAATTCGTCTTTCTCTTATGGTTATAACTCTTTTAATGGAGTCAGGCTGATGATGCAACTCAAACTCAAGCCAGTCTGTTATCAATCTATCGTTCTGAAAGAACAAGCACCACAGCACAGTTCATTTAATCATGAATGAGCCAACTCAGCCAAGGAGCTCTGTAATTACCTAAAACTCTTGTCTCGCATTCTTCTCATACAACTTAATTACGTCAATCAGAGAAAGATTAAAAGATGCTCATCTTGCCTGTTTCCCTCAGAAGCAGGTTGATGAAGAACTCTGACCACCGAAACACAATCAAGTGACATCCCAGTTGCTTCTGCAAAAGCAAGCAATTTTTTTTTAATAAGATAATAGACTTAAGAGAAATTACATGATTGTCCATATTATAATATTAATTCAAATTAGACATCAATTATAAGCTTAAAGAATATCAATGACAACAGTTTTCCAATAATATGCCTTGACAAAGAAATGTCAATTGAAATGGCATTACAGGCGTCAAAATGGCAACCAAGGAAATCTGTATAGAATATTATCCATGGAGGAAGAGAAGTAACATAAGAATACACAAAAAACCTAAAAAGCCATTCAAGCAAATGAAAGGGTCCGGTCTGGCATACTCCAAACCTGGGATTCAAGTATTCTCATAATGATGGATCACATGAGCACCATGGTGCACTAACATTGACTAGTTACCCTATACCTATAGCCCTTCTAGTAAAGTAGAAAGCTTTGTATCATCATAGGTTCATACAATATTTTCTCCTTGTATCTTGATCATTAAAAAAAAAAAAAAACATAGCTGAGAAGGAAAAAATGTTTCAATTTCCTGCAACAGAAGAGTACAAAGCAATATTATCATGTTCTGAGAAAACATTTTTTGCACCCAGGGAAATCTACTATTGACAAATTAACCCCACAAAAACCTTCATGTGGTTAAGCACGAGATCATAGAGTCAGAAGATATTGACATTATTCTAGCTATGCAATTATTTACCTTAGGGGTTTGTAATTGAATGCCTGGGGTCATTTATTATCTAGTTTGGCATTTGAATAAAAGCATTTTACTTATGGATAGGGTATCCAACATTGCAGTATTCCAGAAGGATCAGGATGATTGATATGAATAAGGCTTCTCCATCTAGGCTGCCTTTAAGTAGGTTTCTGACCAGTGGTCATTTAAAAATAGGACCTTTATGATCATTAATGTTAAATTTGGGATTGTTTTAATTCCTATTTTCAGTTTTTTCCTCTTTCTGTTTTGCATTGCTTCAATTCTCTCTTGCACAAATATAAAGTCACTTCAAGATATGTTGCTAGCCAGTTAAAACGTAAATCGATAGAGAGTTTCCTTGACCCGTGCTGGAAAGGATGGCATCTCATGTGTACTAGACGCGAAAGGAAAAAATTGCCTAGGCTGTTCTTAAACCAGCCATTTTGGGAAGTATGAAAATAATACTATTGCTTTCAGCTCAAGCATGGCATAAATGAACTGTAAGAAAGAAGAATTTACCAGCAATTACATTGGTGGGAACATAGTAAGGCAAGATCATTAGTTTTCTATTTTCAGCGTCAAACTTCAAGACATATACCATCCCATGCTCGCTTCCAATATACCTAATAGTTATCAACAGTTTAACAATGATTCAGGTCCAAATGCCAAAATGTCATCTGAAAGAACAGAAAGCAGAATGCAGATTGGAATCGATCTCTATTACATGTAAGTAGTGCCATAAATAACAGAGAAAGCAGTTACAGTAGATTCCCACTGTAAAGCAGAAGCTATATGCCTGCTTTCCAAATCCCAAACCTGCCATCATCAGAAACATATCGGACCAACTGATTAATGCAGCAGTGGAAAGGGAAAATGTATGAGAGTAGAGATAACGGAAATAAAACAAGCTCACCAAGATACTGAGCAAAATAAGAAAGCTCAGACCCTCAGAGAGATTAAAATATAGATTGAAATACACTAAACTTCCCAAGTTTGGCTAATCTATGTTAACATCTCTCTTGCTACAAAAATCATACTCAGCTCCCATGACATTTTGATATATGCTGCAGAATCCTCCCATCTAATTTATTTTCGGTTTAAGAAGTTATTTTTTGACACAATATAAAACTGATGTGATTTTATATTTAATATGACAGTAAAAAACAGGTTTTATAACTTTAATTTGGGAGGCAACCCATATAATATAAAATTTTAATTTCATTGAAGTTAAATAAATTGGAATGGGGTTGAATATACTTTTCAAGGCAAGAAGGACATCAAGTAGAATTTAGCTAAACAACAAAGGAAGTTAGTGTAATTTACTGAGACATATAACCATAAGAATAACAAAGAAAGCCACGTCATGACAGTTTAGAAGAACTTATAGTCTAAGGAGGGTACCTGAATTTCATTGTCAGCTGAGACACTGACAAGGAAACCTTGATTTTGCAAGAACTGTAACAGATATGCCAGACGTTAACAACAGATATCAAAATATTCATTGCATTCTCAAACTATAAATGAAAATATAAAAGTAGTTTCATTTAATGACCACATGTTTTTTCACATCTAGAGTTCAAGAACTTGTTTTCCTTTGCTAGATTAACAGACAAGTATTATGTGTACATTTACATGCACATGCATTACATGCAAGATAGCACATGAATTCCATAGATTGCACAAACTCAACAGACACACCAGCAGGGTGACAATAGATTTAAGATTGACACATGTAACAAACCTCTAAATTTTTGAATGACGAATGCTTTGGGGAGAAAAGAATCCCTTCAATGTTGTCACCACCAATTACCTTTATCTTCCATCTCTTCAAAGAATGAAGAAAATATGAAAGTCAGCTCATGAAGCCATACTACACTTAGATTATTTCCATCTGACAACTTCATGACATATTGATGTGCTACTATATTGCCGCTCAAGTAAATTTTATGTTTATAGGCAATTCACCCTTCAATATCAATACTAAAGTCATGTTAAGAATTCGAGTGATGCATGATTTCATGCCATTCTGATTAGGTTAAAATCAACAGCCAAAAAAACTATGTTAAGGCACATGGAATATCAAAGCCCCTTTCAGACTTCAGTCCTCTATCTGCTTTTACAGATCACTCTTTGTTCATATATTAATCAAGAGTTAAGATAATAAAATACTTCTGGAACAAAAGGTTATCAGCAAATCCAGAAGAATGAACTAAAAAGTCAAAACTACTTTGCAGATCTCCATAAACGGGAAAGCGCTAGTGTATACTTCAACTTGGTTCAGATGTAAACACCTGTCTAAATCTCAAATATTTTACCGATAAAGCTGGAATAAAAACGTATAGTTTCAACATAAGGTCAACAAAAAGAACTCACAGAGTTCCTATTGCCAACAGACGTTGAGTGTGATCAAAAGCCAGGATAGATGCAGTTGATGGGACGCCATAGTGGAGAACAACTTTGGGATCCAAATCTGCTGATGTGAAACTTCCCTGTCCCACATTATGCTGCCGAAGAGCACATGAGATGTTCAAGTGAAAGATTAAAGCTAATATATACACCAAACTGAAAACAAATATCAAGTGGGATGTGTGAAAGTTTAAATTTTTCTTGTGGCAGACAAAAGGGGAGAAAAGATTTTCTTGTCTCTTAAGCCACAGCCAGCGAACATAATAAGTAAACAACTAATTAAAACAAGAAACAGAAATATCAATCCGTTCTTCAGAACAACCATTCAATTGCTAATATTTCCAGCGATCACTAGAATACTCCTGGAATACCCAAAATAAAGGTGCGGGATCAAACCAGAAACATTGTGACAAAAGAAGGAGGAACAAGTTCAATTCGAGAACAATAGTTTTGGTTTGTCGTGGCTTTACTCCGACACCCAGTTTCAAAAACGTATCGGATTAAGTTTCAAATTGCTTAGTCCAAAGAATTCAGAGTGATATGAACTTAACAATGTAATATTACTTTCTCACAAACTGAATTGGAAACAGATGTTTCTCTGCTCTATGCGTGACGCCCCGGCGACATTCTTCATCGACATTGATCGGCGATAATTACAGAAAATCAGGAAAAATAATGAAAATAATAGAGATAGAGCACATACCTGAGGACGGTGCTCTGGTGTGTGTTTCTGAAATAATTTAGCAAACATTGCGGATGATCCAAGAGGCTCTTCTCCTATCTCAGCTGGTCAGTTCGTTGGAGATGCATTTCTTTCGTATTCATTCATATTTCTGTTTCTTCGGTGCTTCAAGTAATGTAGGAATGATCAGGATGATGCATCATGAATGCGACGCCCGTAGAAATTTCCCCGTGGAACGGTGATGCGAGCTTCTTCTTTTTTTTTTTTTTTTTTTTTTAACCACCACCAGGTGATGTGAGCCCGAGGGACGGATTCTTTGACCGTTGGATCTTTCAAGTTAGCTTGGGTTGCAAGGTAAATGATTTGCTGCCCTGCATCTGAAAAAACCCCAACCCAAGAAGAGAAAGTTGGGCCCACGATAAGAAATGAAAAAGTCGTTAAAAAGCTGTTACTTTATAATGCATATTTTTCTAGATACTATAAAAAATATTTTTTATGGAAATAATTTGTTTATATTTTATAGTTTATATTCATATCATCTTCTTGTTTGATGAGATGGTGTGAAATTTCCGTCCATAGGTTTGTAATATTAATACTTTTGGTGAAATTTTATTCTTTTAAAATTATTTTGGTATAAAAATCAGTTTTTGTTGGTAAAAAAATTAGTTTTTTTTAACTGAGATACAAAAATTAGTTTGACAAACCATTAATTTGACTAGTAGTTTTCCCAACGACTAGTAGTTGATTCTGAGGTTTAGGTTTCTTTTGGCACATGGTTGAGGTTGTTCATCTGAATTTTTTTTAATGTGCCTTTCTTTTTTTTTTCTTATGCTGCGAAAAATTAAAATTTAAAACTAAAATTTTTTTGGACAAAATTTAAACCTAAAATTTGAGTTTGGACATGGGAACAACTTGGTTTACATCCCTCTACGAATGAAAAATGAATTGACTAATTTTAAAAGCCGCATAATGTAGTAATTCTTCGGCTCAATGTATACAATTTCTATGAGAAATACTTGGTGGATTTGGACCCCCCTCCCCAAAAAATTAATGCGTAGTGAATACGAGCATTATTTTTTAAATACGAGTGTTTGTTAGAATAATAAAGCGTTCTTTTTTTTTAAAACCAGAGAATAAAGTGTATTTATCTAATCCATGCAAGACAATTAGAATGACATGAATCCAGCCATTGAAGCGGCTAGCCGAGCATATCCAGTCGGTTGGTTGATATTCATTGGTTTTATGTTAAGATTGTAGGAAACGTTTCAATATCTCAAAATCACTTTAAAAAAAATATTTTCATTTAAGTAAAAATAAAACACATCTTACGTGTTTATTTTATATATCATAAAATTATTTTTAAAAATTATGATTTGATTTACACTCAAACATTTTAATAAACCATGTTAATTAAAGTGCGAGCGTGAGGGGAAAAAAAAGAGAAAGAAAAAGAATTTACAGCATGGATCATCGTTGTACAGTTTTGCTTTGGAATAAATATATGATTTATTTTCTTTACACCAAAAAAAAAGATGTACATGACGTATCTTTAGGCCAAAAATGCAGAAGCAAAATTGCGTACACGACTTTTCTTCTCTTTTAATTTCCTTGAGAAAAGAAGTGGCCACCGGTAATGAAGCAATTTCAAGTACTATTATTACACATGACATGAATCTTATAAAACTATTATTAAAATATTTTATAAATTAAATTTTTATACCACAAGTTCACATTAAATTTTTTATATTCAAAATTTATTGATTTATATTTCAATGATAATTTTGCATTTAAACTATCTATTTTTTGTCAGAGTAAACAAAGAATTCTGATAAAAAAAGAAGGAGAATTTTAAAAGAATATGAATCCGCTTTCTTAACTTATTCATATAATTTAAATAATTTTTATATTAAAGACGAGTATAATATTTAAAATTTAGATATGTCAAAAAAATTTTGGCCACAAAAAAAAAGATAGGTCAAAAAAAATTTTGTTGCTTTTTTTAATGTATTTGTAAAGTTAAAACATAATTTTTTAAAAAAAGATATTTTCTTTGCCTTAGGCCAGGTGTCGGGTCATATCTTCGCAAGAGAATCATAAAGGGAAACATTTTTAAAAAATAATCCTAAATATAGTTTCTCCTCTCTCTCTCTCTCTCGATCAAGCATTCATCCTTGTTGTTTTTTTTTGTTAATACAATTTTTAGTCTTTTAAATTTGTTCTCTTTTTTTTTTTTGATAACAAAAGCAATCCAGTTACAGTCTACATGATTACATTCCTACTAGGCCAGTCCTTATACAGAATACCAGCTAGATCAGGAGGTGCTTCATGAATGAAGTGAATCCCATGAAAAGCGTTAAGTCCTTGTCTGGCAAGGTAGTCCGCAGCTTCATTCCCAGATCTGTGGACGTGGTTAATGCGAACCTCCCAGTCCCTGTTCATCATCACCCGGCCTCTTTGATGACATTATAATCAGTATGATCTGGGCTCGTTTCAGTTGCAAGGAGATCAATGACATTTGTTGCATCTGTCTCCAAAATGACACGTCGATGACCTCCATCCCAGGCCATTTTCAAGCCATGAAGACAGCCCCAAAGTTCAGCACTTAAAGCATCCCCTTCCGTCATGCAGCAGACGAAGCCTTGCAGAAGCATTCCATCTGAGTCTCGGATCAGCCCGCCACATGCGGCAGTTTGATGAGCTTGCGAAAATGCACCATCAGTATTAACTTTCACCCACTTTGCACTAGGTGGCTCCCACCTCGTCTTGCTCGTAATGCGACTAACACCCGGAATGTTGGCGCCCTTTAATAGTCGGCGAGCTTCTTGCGATTGCATTACCATGGCTTTTGCTGATGCAATGATAGCATCGTTAGTAACCTTCTGTCCTTCAAAGACAAAAATATTGCGGCGTCTCCATAACCACCAGCAAATAATGGAAAAGAGAGTGCTCCAGTTCTCATACTTGCCTTGTTTTCTCTAAAGGTTCCACTGCAGCCATTCCACAAAGTTGAATGAGCACCAGCGCTGCACGTGCTCTGGTGCAAGGATACTCTGCCAGAGGAGACGAGTGTCCTGGCAGTCTCGGAACACATGGATCAAATTTTCAGTTTCTTGTTTGCAAATTGGACATGTCTCATCATCACTAAGTCCCCGTTTAAGTCTCATCATCATCAAATCTTTATTCTTGTTCTCATTTTAGTTTTGATTCCCTAAATTTTAAACAGGTTTTAATCCTTCAAGTTTTTTGGGATTAATATAGATTTTGGTTCTTTAAGTTTATTCCTATTTTGATTTTGGTTCCTCAAATTTCTTTTTATTTAAAATATTGGTATCTATAACCCAATAAAAACTTGGACCATTTTACTCATAGAGGGAACAAAACCTATGGTTTGAAATTTAAGAGATCAAAACCAAAATGAGAACAAACTTGAAGGACCAAAAATTATATTAACTCAAGTTTCTTTTTATTTAAATCAATTAGTTCATACAAATACAATCCACTAAAAATCTGAACCATTTTACTTTTTGAGAAATCAAAATCTATGATTTAAAATTTGAGGGACTAAAATTATTAAAATGAAAACAAATGTAAAAAATTAAGGATTATATTATCCTTTTTTTAGTTTGGTTGATTTTAGTGAGTGGTGGTAAATAAGACAGATAAAAGACAACCCCGAAACAGACTAAAATCCTTACAAACATGTAAAACTATTGCGCCTGCTTGATATTGACTTCGCATTTTGCGGATGCTACATAGTGAACATTAGCCCTGCCTGATAAGCCGCCTTCCAGACATCTTCTATTGTTACCCAACAAATCCTTTTCTTTCTCTTTTCAATAAATAAATCAATTTTTGACACATCTTCCTTGCACATATATATCATGAATGGGGGTATACTTGATTTTCTTTTCGGTATCAAGAAACCAATTTACCAAAAACACAGGTTTTGAACTTTAAGGACTAAAACTAAAATAAGGACAAACTATAAGAATTAAAAATAGTATTAACCATTAAAAAAAGTATTTTATGCTTGCCATACAAGAGATCACGATACCAATAATTTCTGTATTTAAAAGGACAAACAATATAATGATCTAAGGCTATGGATACCATCAAACTTGCAACTTTTTATTTACTGTGAGTTTTTATGTCATCAAATTATAAAATTATCGGCATCATAAGACTAAATTGATCCGCGAAGCTGTGTGATGCTTCTAACACCAAATTCAAATTCGTATTCGAATTCGGTTCTTCAATTCCTCTCTCTATGGGATTTTATTGAAGTTTATATGCATTTAATTGTAATCATTTGTATGGTTGGAGCAACATTTTCATTTCATTTTTATCATGGTAACAAAGCTTAAAGATAACATGAAGGTTTCTTTTGAAATTATATTTATAATTATTTATAAATATGTTTTACATAAAATTAAAACAAATTTTTTCTCATATTTGTTTTTTTATTTCATAAATTGTTATTTAAAATTTTTTTTAAAAGTAATCTAAAATTGGGCTGTATTAGTATTTTATTAGGCACCATACTGGAGGCCCACAGTACTTTTTGGGTCCAAGGTAAACAAGACATGTGAGGTTCTGTGAGTCGGTCAGGATGTGAGTGAAGGGAAAATTGCATAGGAGTTTGCCCAGTGTAAATCTGACAACACGGGCATGCCCTGACGTTATATTTTACAATTATTTGACTGCAACCAAAGACAAAAAGTACGCAAGGATAAGGATTTCAAATCCAAAGCATAATATGGTTGGTAGTTATTTTATGACCATATTACTATTCAAAAAGCCTGCTTTCAATAGGGAATCTTTCCACGCAACATGCCAACAGTCTCCCACCATGTAACTGCAACCTCAAAAGCACCCTACTTCTTTATATTCAGCCAGAGTACAGACACGAACGCACCATACCCATTTGTAATTGCCTTTTTCCCAGTATTTTCAGCTCTTTTTTAATGGGTTTGTTTGCTGTTCCCAGTTTTTTAAAATGAAATAACGAATCAAACATGCCATTGCTAACTCATAGTTTTATTCAACATACGCTCTCCTTGCATGCATGTATTGAGTGTTTGGATTGGTGTTTAAAAACTACTTTCACATAAATCAACATAAAATTCATCTTAATACCAAATTACTTTTAAGAAAAACTAATTCAATCACAAGTATAAAGTTGTTTAATACTACTTCCGGTTCTTAATATAAGAATTAGTTATTTAATTTGAGTAAATTAAAAAAATTAGTTATGTTAATTATCTGTAATAAATAGATGTTATTTTTAAAAAATATTTTTAATAATCATGTGTATTAACTAAAATTATTATTATAAAGACTATTTTTAAAAAATAAAATAAATTAAAATATTATATTTAAAACTAAAATAAAAGTTAAATAAATTTTTACACTAAAAAAACGAGGTGATAAAATAGAAGCGTGAATATATATGTGAGTGTAATTTTTTTTTTTAAAAATAGCACCACAGAGTCGTACCTGCAGGCATGCTGATTTCTATGGTCAGGCGATCGTTCCGTATACGTAATGGTTAAACCAAATCCCTATTTCCAATAATCATATCCATTCACGTGTCTTGGTTTTTCTAAACGACCTAAGTAATCATCGGTATTTATTCATGATAACGTGATTTTTTTTTTTGGCCAGCGCTAGATAGCGTGATTTTCTTTACGCATGGAAAGAATATTTTATGTGCGCGCTCTATTCACATTCGGTTCATCTATATGACTATAGACGCTGTTATTATATAAATTATGTTTTTTTTTGGTAATTAGTTAATTTAATGTATAACGAACAAAATTCGCTGACTAATTTTGTATGTGTGTATTTATATGGTGAGAACCTCAAATTTTTTTTTTTCATGAAAGGATCAAAATGCATTAAAAATTAAGAAAAATTATAAATAAAGACCCTCTAATATATAAAATTATGATTTGGGATTTTAAATTTGGAAAATAGCAAATAAGAACCATGTCCTACTTTTGCAAATATGAAATGTGAATTAAATGTCTAAAATATCTTTCAGTCAAATTGTGATTTGGTCTATTGAAATTGTTATTCGCTAAAATGAACTTGTCATTTTCCATAGTTAACTCGTCATTTTGTATATTCTCAGCTAAGTTGTGATTTGGTCTACTGAAATTGTCATTTGTTAAAGTGAACTTGTCATTTCTCATAGTCAACTTATCATTTAATTGAGGGGTATTTTAGACATTTCACAATGATTTCATATTTGCAAAAGTGAGACTATGTCCTTATTTGCTATTTTTCAAATTTAGAGTTTCAAATCATAATTTTAAATATTGGGGGGTTTTATTTGTAATTTTCTCTAAGAAGTGAATTACAGGGAGAGTATTTAGGCTAAACCACCTCCGGTTCTCAATATAAAATAAGATTAGTTGACTAATTTAAAAAATTAAAGAAATTATTAAATTAACTATAGTATATGTTATATCATTTTTCTAAAATACTTATATAGATTATTAGATTATATATTAATTTATAAATGTTTTTTTAAATAAAGTATATTTAATTACAAAGTTGTTTAATTCACATCATTTAGAGAAAGTTCATTCATAAAAAGTAAATGAAATCTGTCCAGAAATTCATCCCCTTTTTAATTATTACCGGCTTGAGCTGCTTTAGAAAGGAGCTCAACAATCCTCCTTCTCATAATCAATGCTGCATTTGGTACTTAATATAAGAGTTTGTTAATTAATTTGAGTAAATTAAGAAAATTATTGCAGTTAGTTATTTGTAATAAATAGGTGTTATTTTTCTAAAATATCATTGCTAATAATGTATATTAACTAAAACTACTATTTAATGAAACTTTTAACATGTGTAATTACTATAAGGATTACCTTGAACAAAAAAAGATAAATATGAGAGACAAGATGAATTTGAGTCTTATATTTAGAATCAAATTGAATATCAAATGAGTTCTTTTATATTTAGTATTCACTATAGGCGCAAAAAACTAAATGGATAGTAATTAATTTTTCAATATTAAATATAAGACCCACCTTATAATAAATTACACTATAAAATAAGTCTCATATTTATGGCCAGATGAATATTTTTTTCGGCAACCATTTGGTATAGTAGTGCTTCTAAAATTAGGCAGCATGCACCATTATTATCTTTTTAATTAAAAAGTTAGGCACTAATGAATTTATAAGTAGGATCAAAACCATGGCATCCCACTTTTGCGATATATTACTTGCGGTTCTTAATATAAGAGCTAGTTTAACTTTTAATTTGATTCTAAATATAAGAACTTAATTTACTTTGTCTCTCATATTTATTTATTTTTTAAAAAATAATCCTTGTAATAACTACACATGTTAAATATTTCATCAAACAATAATTCTAACTAATACACAAGATCAACAAAGGTATTGTAAGAAAGACAAGATCTATTTATTACAAATAACTAATTTAACAATTTTTTTAATATATTTAAATTAGTTAACTAGTTCTTATATTAAAAACTGGATGTAGTAATATTTTTGTATATATTGATTTAATTAATGTGTTCAATGAAATACTAGTATGCAGTAAACACTAAACAGTTGCATTTCAGCAGTCACACATCATTTATTTCCCAACTTCAGGATGATACACAACGTGGGGAAAATGTGTTTAATAAATTTGTTGGAATGTCGTGGGAAAAAAAAAATGTTGGCATGTCCTTCACACGTGCGACAGCTTGTGCCGCCAATCTTCGCACGCTTGTAGAGAACGACAGCATCATCAACCATACGGGCAACGAGCTCCCTTGCTGGCCATTTACTTGCTACGTCCTTCTTTCACCTCTCCAACCTGCTTCTCCTACTAGTTATGGCCTCTTCAGCCAGTAACCAAACGCTGATGCCAAACGTCTACGGCGGCGCCACCTCTGCTCCCCCTCCGACTCCCTCCACTCATTCCAACAACAACCTCTTCCCCGCTTCCGACACCGCCGACGCCTTCTCCCGCCTCCTCCTCCACCGCCTACCACCTCCCACTCTCTCCCTCCCCACTCGCCGCTCCTCCGCCCCCACCACCTCACCTCCCGTCATATCCCTCTCCGCCGATCAAACCCCCGCCGACGACCTCCTGACCTCCGTTTGCGACCTCGGATTCTTCCAGCTCACCCACCACTCTATACCTCCAGAACTCGCCAGCTCCGCCGAGTCTGAATCGCTCGCCCTCTTCGATCTTCCTAGAGACCAGAAGGAATCGTTGCTCCCGAAGAACTGGCCTCTCGGTTACGAATGCGGCGACGACGACGACGACGATGAAGGAGACGGACAAGGGGAGTCGTTCCGCCTGGATGGGTCGTGCTCAACAGAGTCGACCGAGTTGTCTTTGGCTTCTCTGCGCGAGTTCACCGGCGCCCTTGAGAAGTTGGGATTAGAGATCATCGGTTTGCTGTCGAAGGCCATGGATTTCGAGAATCCCGTTCGGGATGACCCGACCCGATTTTGTTCCATGATGTGGATCTCGGAGTGCGGGAGGAGCACAAAACCGGCCCTATCAAGCGGGTATTACCCGTTCATAGTGGGGCTGCAGTACCAGATCAGGAGGCAGAAACACTCACTGTTGTCGGATTCGGGTTGGGTGTCCGTGTTGCCCCACTTAGACTCGGTCCTGGTCACAATTGGCGACATTGCTCAGGTGAAACGCTATTTTTTGTTCTTTAATCAATTTTAATCTTTAATTAACTAAATTAATGGCAGGCAAATTTGTGAGCAATTGGGATTAAAATTAGATTAGAGGACACTTGGGTAATAAAGAAATGATTTCTTGTCGTGGGCGCCTGAGTGGCATCGGAATGACGGAATCCCACGCATACTAATGCGCAAACAAACATGGGGTTTCCCCCTCAGTTTTTGGGTCCCACAAAGAAATAGATTTTTTAAAGTTATCTGGTGTGTTTGAGAGTGTGTGTGTGTGTGTGTGTGTGTGTGTGTGTGTGTGTGTGTGTGTGTTTGTTTTTGGTGAGATTAGAAAGTTATGTGATGTTGAATGTGTTTGGAAAATTGAGAAGGTGTGGAGCAATGGGAGGTTGAAGAAAGTGAGAGGGAGGGCGGTGGGAGAAGCGGCGGAAGAGAATGGTTCGCGAAGCATAGGCATGACGTTACTGGTGAGTCTTCCGACGGAAAGCAGGGTGGCTCCGATCCTTGGGAAGGCCGAAGATAACGGAAAAGAGGAGGAAGATGGAGAATCAGCGGAAAAGAGGGGAGTGTTTCAATCTTTTGATTTTGAGGATTATGCTTGGAGGGTATACCATGAACGCCTCCTCTTAAAGGACCCGCTTGATAGGTATCGCATCACCTAAACTCGGCACTGCAACAGCTCGGCTGTCATCCATGATGAGATGTGATTGTAAAATGTAAATGCACCTTTTTATTTGGGCGGTCTTGCGAATATGTTTAAATTGAGAGGAGGCGTTATTGATTCATTATATATTGTAGAATCTGAGTTTGGTTCTTTTAGTTTGCACTTGTTTTCTTGTGACTTCCATTACCCAAAGGCCAAAACTATCTACTTCCCTCGGTTGGTTTATAGTTTTTGGATGGTCATGGCATGAAATTTACTACTCCACTCCTCACTCTTTTTGATTCTTTTTTGTTCGGCAGGCGCACAAACTCCTCTTTTAATATTCTAGGCTCAATTTTGTTTTATAACCTAATGCTATGAAAACTTCTTGATAAGTGATAGGTTAGTTCGATCTTGTTTATAATATCAGGGCGTTAGCACCTATCTTTTTTATTGGGAAAAAAAAATCAGGACTCATGGCATGAAATTTAAAGGCGCACAAACTCACCTTTTAAAATTCTGGACTGATATCAAGCTGCATTACCATCATAATTATGCTTGTGTTTGAAAAACTGTAAAAACGGGCTTTTGCAATTTTTGATGCCAATAAACGGACCCTGGCCAACAAACCGATTAGTGAGGGAGGTCCATTACCGTGGGAAATAGCCATAAAGTAGAGCCCATGGTCCATTATTTCTGATATTTCATCCTTGCGCCCCATAATATTGCTGATCACGCTCAGCATCATTCATCAGTCAAGCTAAATAATTAGATAAATTGTACCCAAAAACTTCATTAAGTCTACTTGTCAGAGTATCAGTTCTGAGAGTCAAAAGATCAAACTTGTCCAACCGAACCTGTGAGAGATGGTTCTTACGAGTATTCTTATTAGCAGACCCTTTTGATCAGGGTGTGGAAGTTTGGCAGGGATGAAGTCAGTTTTTTCTTCTTCTTTTTTTTTTAAACATATATATGCCAGCATGTAATTATGCTGTTTATCAATATTCTGTTAAAAGATACACATAATAAAATAACTCACCACCTAACCTGTGAGAAGTTAACTGTATAATCTTCGCAAGTAAGCATTACATGTCTGTTACATGTGTGCCAGCTTTTAGGGTAGTTCCGAAAAGCCTGATTGCTACTGTCCATCTTCATTTCACTGTACCAGAATTTAACTACTTCCGAGAAATCAAAACTCAAGCATTCTTGCCAATTAAAAAAAAAAAAAAGCCATAATATTCTTCAACTTGATAAGGGTCTTGAAAGCACCGGAGTTTGAAATATATAAATTCATGTATTTCACTTCTATTTCTTGTCTCGCTTTACTAATTACTAGGCCCCGTGATAGATGAAGTGCTGAAACGTATGTAATGTGCATGGGTGCATCATGTAGGAAAAAAGGTGGTATTTTTGAAAAAGTTCAACAGTGACAGATCATTCTGTTTCATTGTAACATGTTGACATGTTAATGATTATTCGTTAGCTTCTTGTTCTGCAGAGGAAAAGAAAAACAAGAAGAATATAAGAAGGAGCTCCTTTTTGGGCTTTTGATGAACACATGTTCTGTTGAGGCTTGCCCACTTTGTCTGTGGGATTTTGTTGGGATGCCTTAACTTGAAAAGAACGGCACGTCGCAACCATCAAACCAACGAACGCCCAGTGGAAATATTGAAGAGAGATTCCTTAGCTTTTACTTCTCTCCAACGTAAAGTTACTAATAATTCGGATTTGCTTTCGGAAGAGCATTTCTATTTACGAGTAATTAATTCCACTTAACAAGTCTGCTTTGGCTAGCTCAGTGGGAAACAAGGTTACCCAAATAAATAGTTAATAGGTTAGTATAATTTTTAGTCCGTTTGTCTTTATTTTAATTTTGATCCCTTAAATTTTCAATTATAAGTTTTGATCCTTAAGAAGTAAAATGATTCAAGTTTTTATTGAATTATAAGAACTAATGTTTTAAATAAAATGAAACTTAAAATGATCAAAGCTTATGATTTAAAATTTGAGAGACCAAAATAAAAATAAGAACAAATTTAAAGGACCACAAATTTTATTAAGTCTAATTAGTATCTACGAAAAAAGAAAACATTGAGGCCGTATGACCTGAAGAACAAGCTACGTCTCTTAAAAAGAACATAATAAATACTGTTTGACAAAATTGCAAGTGTTAATGGAGTCCATTGAGTAGAATTTGAAATCTGAAATTCTACCTCCGGTCTTTAATATAAAAACTGATTGACTAATTTGAGTATATTAAGAAAATTAGTTAAATTAATTGTTTGTAATAAATAGGTATTATATTTTTTAAAATACTCTTGCTAATCAAGTGTTATTTGAAAAAAATTTTAACATATGCAACCACTACAAGGACTATCTTAGGAGAAATGGATAAATATGAAAGATAAAGTAGATTGGAGTCTTATATTGAGAACCAAATTAAAAATCAAATTAACTATTATATTGAGGACCAGAGACAGTATTAATTTTTTTTCCCAAAAATACATGTAAACTTTTAAAATTAAAAATACCCTTCAATTTATGTAACCCCAATCCAAACTCATGCCGAGTTATATGCTGCCTCTGGTATTTAATATTATACTACCCAATTGACTAATTTAGGCCTTTAAAAAATTAAAGAAATTACTAAAGTATTTTGGAGGGATCATATAATATATACTATAATGAAATAATTTAGTAACTTTTTTAATCTTTATAAATTAGTCAGTTTAATGTTATATTAAGCACCAGATATTACACCATCATATCTAAGTGGACAATAAAATTATGTTCATCGAAACATGACGTACGACAAAAATTATTATCCACATTGCAGGCAAAAATTATTTTTTTTATTGCTTGGATTTGCCGTTTAACTTCTAACGGTTTGGCACATCAGATGAAAAGAAACGGAACACCTCTACAGGTTTTAAGACCCACACTCGCAGCTTTTATAACTAATTATATAACTAATTATTTAGTACTTGCTTGAAATCACTTATATAAGCATTTATTTATAAGTCATTATTCGTATATTTATTTAAATTGAAAATGAAAGAGGAGGGGCTGATCAATCCAACCTGGTTTGGTTAATTGTCTAAGGTCCCCTATGTGTTATTGCGGCTTCAAACTCCTTTTTTTTTTTTCCTTTCACTTTCTGCCCATCACGTTTTGTCCTTATTCTGGAATCTAGTCTAATTCTCTCATGATCATACAATCACACAATGATTTATTACCCGAATATAATAAATTGAGAACACACACACACACACACAATAGTATATGACCCCGAATTGTCAAAGAATGAACAGGCAGCAATACTTTGTGGAGCTGATCAAATTATTGTAAGTGGATGCGGACCAGCAATGAAAGAAAATTAAAACTCAGATAATTCTGAAGACATTCTCTTTTGGGGTGTGTGTGTCATGTGTGTGTGAGGTTTTCAGGAGATTTCTTAATTATATTAAGGAAAAAGTATAACATTCAGTAATTAACTAGCATCAAGCGGTTTGATGTTTTTAATTCCATCATTTGTTAATCTTAAGGTTTAGATCTAGTTATTTATAATTATAATTATAATTATATCCCAGCACGATAATGTCTCCAAATAAATGACTAAATAAGCTATAATTAATTTTCTCACGAATCATCAGTCATGATACAATTTCTATAAGAAATTAATAATTTATTAATTGTGCTAGGATTTAATAGATATGGCTTGTGGGATCACACAAACCCGTATTTAGAAAACACCTATCATATGAAGTATGGTTCAGCAATATAAGATGCATTTTTAGAACACACAAATTAACATTTTAATTATTTTAAATTTTACCCCGAAACTACTTTCTCTGTTTTAAAAATGCAGCAATATTTGATCAGAGATTTTAGGGACTAAAAATAATAGTACTCCGCATGCATACCAATATTGACATCAAATTAGTTAAGTTTAATGTGACATTAATAATAATATAATGATGGCAGTTTTCCATAATGGTTTACCGTTTTGGCAAAACAAATCAGAGTGGATATTTTATTTTTGCCATATATGTCAAAAAATATAAAGAAAGGTTCAATGCACTTTAATCAAACCAATCTTTGTGTGTGTTTTGCGGGTTGAGTGATGGTTAATCTGAGCTAACTAATGGCAGCTATATAACTTAATAAGGTTGCGGTATTGAATTAATTGTGATGATATGCTTCTAATTAGAGATGACCCTTTGACTTGAAGGATGCAGGCTCTCTGTTTCTCAGTGGGGGTGGAGGGAACTCCAGACTTATGCCTCAAGTATCGCCCTGTATGATCTGACCATCAAGCACAGCCTTCTAATGTGAAGCTGATAGACAACAACGTTGTGTCTACCAAAGAGAAGAACCTCAATATACCTCCTCCCTCTTTCAAGTGACTGAGACTAGGACCAACCCTTTCAAGCCTTTCATCTCACTCCTCTCTCTCTCTCTCTCTGTGTCCCTGTCTTCTCTCTGAACTTGAGAGATCAGATAATATCTCAAGTGGTTAGCCATGGATCATATAACATATGCAATTGAAAAATACAGACACAACCCAGAACTACTTCTGATGTGAGAAAGACAACCCTCCATCCAACACCAATTCGCTCTTATCAGTTTCTTCCAAGACACACCCTTCTTACCAAACCCCCATTCATCAAATCTCATACCTCCCTTTCAAATTCATGTTCTTCATTCCTCTCTCCCTCTATTTCTATATCTCTCCCTTTCTCTTTCTCTCTCCATCCTCAGGCACTCTCTCTCATTCTCTCCCTCTCTCTCATGCAGCCTTTCCGCAGAAAGAGTGCTCCTCTTTTCAGCTTGGAAGCAGGGATAATGAAGGTCCGCAAGAATAATAACCTCTCAATATTCGTTGTCGTATTTTCTGTCATTCTCTTTGGGATCTTCATGTACAATGAGGATGTTAAGTCCATGGCTGAGTTCCCATTCTCAAGGAGTAAAGCTCAAGAAATCCAAGAAGGGAAAGCAGAAACAGAGACAATCGACCCTGTTCCAAAGGATGCTATTGGCAGGACAGGCTCACAGGACTCTACCGTAGTCGACACTGTTCGAAGAGATATCAAGGAGGAAGACGGAGATCATGAAACCGTGACGGTCGCGGATTCCGGGAAATCAGGAGATCAATTGGAGAAAAACCAGGAAGAAGAATCCGATGAAACACAAGAACAGGTTGTTGATACAGTCGTGCCCAAAGAGAAAGATGACAAGATCGAGTTGCCGGGCGTGAAGGAGGAGGAAGATGACGATGATGACGAAGAAGACGAAGTCATCGAGTTGCCTCCAGAGGAGTGTGATTTGTTTACAGGGGAATGGGTCTTCGATAACGTGACCCGTCCATTGTACAAAGAAGACCGGTGCGAATTCCTCACTGCCCAAGTGACTTGCATGAGGAATGGTCGGCGTGATTTTCTGTATCAGAACTGGAGATGGCAGCCCAGAGATTGTTCTTTGCCCAGGTATTCAATTCTCTTCGATTCTTTTGCCCTCTTAATTGTAATTTTCTTTATGTTTTCCCCCCTTCATTAAGTCAATCTGTGTGACTTCTTTCAGGTTCAAACCAAGACTGTTGCTTGAGAAGCTCAGAGGAAAGAGGCTTATGTTTGTTGGAGACTCACTGAACAGAAACCAGTGGGAATCAATGGTATGCATGGTCAATGCTGCGAACCCATCAGGCAACAAAACCTGGTACAAGACTGGTTCTCTTGCTATCTTCAGTATTGAGGTTCGTCTTCTTCCTCTTCTTTAATTATAACACTTACTGATCAAATCATTTTGAACCAAAATAAAGAATTAATATTTTGTTTCATAAAGTGTGGGCCTCTGAACTTGATGAGGATCACCATTTGTGTCACATTCAAATTCAGCCTTTCACTGCAAGTAATATAGCTTTTGAGAGATTTTTGCTTAGGATTCACTCCACCAACTTTGTGTACGTGCAGGACTACAACACAACCGTAGAATTCTACTGGGCCCCATTTCTAGTGGAGTCAAATTCTGATGATCCAAACATGCACAGCATATTGAACCGTATAATCATGCCTGAATCAATAGAGAAGCATGGCGTGAACTGGAAGGACGTGGACTATCTCATCTTCAACACCTACATATGGTGGATGAACACTTTCACCATGAAAGTGCTGTAAGAACCAGATCTCTCTCTCTCTCTCTCTCTCTCTCTCTCTCTCTCTCTCACACACACACACACACACACACTTGCTCGCCCCTTCCTTTACTTTACTCCAAGTATCTTCCTTTTCAAGTAAACTTAAAAGGAAACTTCTCTTGTTGGACCCGACATGTGATGCGACAGACGAGGCTCGTTCGATGAAGGGGCCACTGAGTACGATGAAGTCCCACGGCCAGAAGCTTACGGGAGAGTTCTGAAAACATGGTCGAAATGGGTGGACGACAACATTGATCCGAATCGTACTAAAGTCTTCTTCACCAGCATGTCCCCTCTTCATATCAAGTAAATCCCCAGATCTCAATCTCTACATTTTAAGAATCATAGCATGTCGTACTAAAAGCAGATGAATTTTGTAGGAGTGAGGACTGGAACAACCCAGATGGAATAAAATGTGCGAAGGAGACGACCCCTGTTTTGAACACGACGACCCCACCGGAAGTGGGCACGGATCGTCGGCTTCTCGTCATCGCCGACAATGTGACGCAGTCGATGAAGGTGCCGGTGCACTTCATCAACATCACCACCTTATCGGAGTTTCGGAAAGACGCGCATACCTCTGTGTATACTATACGCCAGGGGAAGATGTTGACTCCGGAGCAACAGGCCGATCCGACTACTTATGCGGATTGTATCCATTGGTGCCTGCCCGGGTTACCCGACACGTGGAATGAGTTCGTTTATGCACGTATTATCTCTCTGTCTTGACGTTCAGACATATGTATATCTTACATCTTCACGTATTCCCCTTTTTTTGGGCAATCTTCAAGTAATTGTTATTGAAATTCTCCTTCAAGTCATGAGAGAAAGGCTTCAACTTTTGTTTTATCTGTTTAAGTTCTTGTAATCCAAACCCCAACCCCCAAAGAAAAAAGGTATTTTCTTCTAGCGTTTGACTCTCAAAAAAAAAAAAAAAGAGTTATAGGACATGGAGTTTTGGTCCCCCCCAACCTCTTCTTTTTTCTCATGTCTCTTTGTCAAGCCAGTTTAACTGAGATTGAAAAGCAAAGGAAGCGCCTAAGTTGTACAACGTTTATGAAGAGAAATAAAGCAAGTACATAAAAACTGAAAGAAGTCTGCCTTTGGTTGTTGTGTGCGACATCCTATGAGTGTTAGTTTGTAATGATACTGCAAATTAACTCTTATATTTAAAATTAGAAGCAACAATTGACTTGTTATTGAGCCTGCAAATATTTATTATGTCATAATTCATATTATCTCCAATTATAAGTATAAGATTCACATGAAAATTTTTACTGTAAGATAAATTTAATATTTAGGATCAAAATACCAATTAAGTTTAAATTCAAGTTTGTAATTCAAAATAGGCTTACTGAGCTGCTTAAATAAATGAGGGTTTGGATTAGTTTTTTAAAAGTACTTTTATATATATTGAGACAAATCTCTTTTACATATTTGTATGGTATATTGTAAAATTATTTTTAAAAAATTAATTCAAACGGTTCACTTTTTGAGCTTGAAAAAATTTTGGAGGCAAAGTAGAGAAAATCAGCACTTCCTATGTATCTGGGTTACTGGGCTAGTTTAAATAGGCCTGAAAACAAATCTAACCAAATTCGTTTGGGTTCCGGGTAAGCCCGAAAGCCCAAAAAATTTCTCTCAGAGACGCGAGAAGGACTCAAGAGTCAAGAGTCAAGGCGTCATATCTAGCGTCTGAGAATAAAAAGTTAAAAAAAGAAAAAAAGGCTTGTTTGTACTTTGTACCCAAATGTGAAAGAACACAGGCTACCCCCGGCACCGTGCCACCTTTGACTTCCGGGGACGCATCAACGCAGCGCACCTTCTGGGTTGCCACTTGCCACTCAAAACGCAGTTACGTGTTTACAATTCCGTCGGAAAATACGGGAGAGACAGAAACGGACAATCTAAGCGGGTTAAGGCTGGAATTTGCATATTTTATTTTCCCTTCCCATAGGCTTAGGATTCTACAGCCAAGCAAGCCCTTTCCTTTATGCTCCTTGACTTTACCTGTCTCCTTTAAATTATTACCTTGCCAATCACCGCAACAAGTAAATTAGTTTCTTTTAACGCACAATATCTGGTTTTTAATATAAAATTTTTTATCTTTTATTTTAATCTTAAATATAAGATCTCAATACACTTTATCTCTCATATTTTTATATATATATATATATTTTAAGATAGTTCTTCTAATGGTTGTAGTTTTAGCCAACACACTTATTTAGTAAGGATATTTTAGAAAAGACAATATTTATTTATTATAAATAACTAACTTAACTTATTTTCTTAATCTCTTTAAATTAGTCAGCTAACTCTTATAATTAGGATCGGAGGTAGTATAAATTAACTAAGGCCCATATACAAGCTACTGGTTTCTTTGGATCCTGAAGTACTTTTTTTTTTTGCAAAAAATACGGTAAATTAGAGTTCTTTTTTTTTTTGAAATAATACTACCTCTGATTTTTAATATAAGAATTAGTTGATTAATTTAGAGAGATTAAAAAAATTAGTTGAGTTAGTTATTTGTTATAAATAAGTATTGTTTTTTCTAAAATATGCGTACTAATAATGTATATTAGTTAGAATTATCATTTGATGAAATCTTCAATATGTACAATTACTACAAAAGACTATTTTGAAAAAAAATAAATAAATATGAAATATAAAGTAAACTGGGGTTTTATATTTAGGATCAAATTGAAAGTTATACATGTTTTTATATTAAGGACAGGAGGTAGTGTTTTTTTTTTTAAGTTTTGATTATTCAAAAATAGAAATATCTCAAATTCATTTTCGAAGTTTAAAATTTTTAAATATTTTTCAATGGGTTAATAATCACAGCACTCTGATTAAATTATGGTATTGGTAGCTTTTTTTTTTAACATATCAGGGGAGCTGAATTCTTGACTGCAACCGACAACTAAATTATATTCTTCTCTAAGAATTTAACTGAAAAAATACTTATTTGTAGAAAATAAATTAAGAGAATATTAAAGTTAAAATTTTAAGCTTGAATAATTATTGTAGTCTTGAAAAATTTTCTGCCTAGACGGGGCTCAACCGGTCGGGACCCTTACCCGAATCCGATGTCTTCAATCGGTCACCCTCTGTCTTCGATGCGCCTGAAGCTTGAAAATTCTATTTCAAAACATTTCTATTTTGTGTAGTTGTCATTCAGTCTTGAGACGAGATCACTGCTTCTCGTCTTTTCGTATGCTCCTCCCCTGTAATAGATCTATCTTCTTACCGGAGAGGGTCCGAATCTTCCTTTCTTGCTGATTCAATACCTGCCATTGATTTGGATCCTCCACGAGCTTTCCATCTCGTTGCTTGGTCTTCACTCTTTGACTCCTAGTAGACGCTAACAATCGCCGCCGCAGATCCAAGTCTCTGATTTTCAGTTCCTAGATCTAAGACGTCATGGCGGCCGCGAATGCTCCGATCGCCATGCGAGAGGCCCTAACTGTGAGTTCTCCTTCACGTTGCCCTCTTATACAAACCATATGCTTTGATTTTATCTTTTTGCTTAGCTGAAAGTGAACTGCAACCGTGGTACGGATACCAATAACGATGTTTATTGAGATGAACTTGGAGGTCTTGTCCTTTTAGTTTGCTTAATTGCCATGATTTGAGTTAATTTCGCTTTCCGAGTCAAGTGTTATTTATACTTGATATTGTGACAAAGTTTGTTCCACCCAGCGTCAATTTCACACAGATCTGAATGCCTATTGTTTGCATCTGAAAAGTGGAGTCTAATAGTTAATCTTTGGATTTTGCCAATGCTTATTTCGGATAGACTGAATCGAGTTTTGTTATGTGACTTATTATTGCAGCTGCCAAGCGTGGGCATCAATCCACAATTCATCACTTTCACGCATGTGACGATGGAGTCTGATAAGTACATATGCGTCCGAGAAACTGCTCCGCAGAATAGTGTGGTTATAATTGATATGAACATGCCGATGCAACCTCTGAGAAGGCCCATTACTGCCGACTCGGCTCTTATGAATCCGAATTCTAGAATCCTTGCTTTAAAAGGTAAGATATATCCTTTTTATTTTCTCCTAAATTCACGAGTTGTGTTTGATTTCGATACGAGTATTATTGATATCAAAGCTTTCGTTATTGCTGACTTATAAAATTTTTGAAAACATTCTTTCCTTTGGCTTTGCGTTATCAAGGAACCAGCTCGATGCATGGATTACTTATTTACTTTAGCATGATTATGAGCTCTGTGTGTGTGTGTGTGTTTGTTTTTTTCTTTGGGTTTTCCAGAACTTAGCTGCTTTGGGTATCTTAGGTCACCAGATTCGTTTTAGCAGAGTTAAGGATATTGCTAGTGACTTAGTCACTTGGAGCACAGAATTGTAAAGGATTTTTTTTTTTTTTGGGAAAATGATTTGAAATTCTGAATCTGGCATTGTCTTAATATATGAACTGAAGGAACGTTGAATACCGGTACAAGGCTTGGAGGGGCGTAACTATATTTATTGGAAATATAATATTGTATGATTTTATGCTCCTTTAGTTCATCTCACATAAAAGAGTAAGGGGATTCTAGTACATTAGATTATCAGCTGGGCGGGGAGAAGCCATGTTTTGAGGTTAACCATGGTTTAATTTCTGAGAGTTTCCCCTAAAATATATTTTCCTAGTGAATTTTAATGACCTTGGTGCAGTAGATGCGATAACAACTCTTCTTCATCTGGGTGGGTACGTGGTCTTGTATTGGCCATTTAGGAAAACTTACCCAATCAGATGGTGGTTGCCTTTTTTTTTTTTTAAAATATATTTTATGCATTATACTTTTGTTAGTTTATATCAATCAGACGATGTCCCAGTTGCACCGAAGAACAGTTATTTATTGCAATCAACTGTTTTGTTCTTGTTATTAGCATTTAATAATGTCAACTGTGCCTTTTGAGGAAAACGTACTCCTACCAAAAATAATCGACCATCATTAACATAAGCAAATGGTCAAATGCTCCCAACCATTGAGACTTATGCTACATGCTTCTTTTATTGTTGCACTTCAAATATTCTGTACATCTGGATTATTTTTTTCTTATAATATCTTCTTTTGAAGCCCAACTTCAAGGAACGACTCAGGATCACCTACAAATATTTAATATCGAGATGAAAACAAAGATGAAATCTTATCAGATGCCTGAGCAGGTAACATGTTGTGGTATAGATATTCCATAATTAAATGATTATAGTTAACTTTTGTTAATCCTTGTGGACCGTCCCATTTCTTCTATAGGTAGTCTTCTGGAAATGGATTACCCCAAAGTTGTTGGGCATTGTGACACAGACCTCAGTATTCCACTGGTCAATAGAAGGTAGGACCGTGTGATAATGGCATTTTGCTTCACCCTGTAAATTGTACCTTATCTTGGAGTTTATACATTCTTATTCTGGGTGTATGTTGCTTATCTGCAAATTGCTAACTGGCCCTTGATTATGTAATTTGCAGGTGATTCTGAGCCTGTCAAGATGTTTGAGAGAACAGCAAATTTGACAAACAACCAAATTATTAATTATCGATGTGACCCTACGGAAAAATGGTTGGTCTTGATTGGTATTGCTCCTGGTTCACCTGAGGTATACTTCTGATGTCTGTTCTTTAAGATATCATGGTTAAATACCTACTGATTTTTCTTTTTTCTGGGATGGTGTCTGCATCTGCCATATGCAGCTTTCACGGTTGTATGACGTAGCCATTTTTGGGGTCTGATCTGTTAATTCATTTATTTGCATTGTTTTGCTCTGTAGAAGCCACAACTGGTCAAAGGGAACATGCAGCTTTTCTCTGTGGACCAGCAGCGGAGTCAAGCTCTTGAAGCACATGCTGC